TCCCTCTCCATCCCTATGACCTGCGGCACGGCGGAGAAACGCGGAATCAGAAGGGAAAGGATGGAAGACAGAGAGCAATGGAGGGTACTAATGGAGAGTTGTGGGTTTCAGGCTGTGGCGCTTAGAAATTACGCCATGAGCCAGGCGAAGATCCTTCTTTGTTTCCCTCCTCACAAATCCTAAAGCAAGCTTCCATTTCTTTCTTCGTTGAATTATAGGGTATACTTTTGACACTTACGAAAGCAAGCTTCCATAGTTCCACTCCATCTCTTTCTTCTCCCCCATTTCTTTTCTTTTTTCCTTTTTTTCTAGAAATGTCAACAGAACAGCACCATTGATTGGATCAGTCGTAGTCACTTCCACTCTCTTGATCTATTATGGCACGAACACATCTCCTGTATCGCATTGGTAATCCGGAATGGTAGTGTTTGCATTGGTAGAGAATTTGCTTTGGTAGCTACCTTGCATTTTATTATGGTATTGTTTGCATTATGCTTTGGTGGGGTTATGCATTTTCTTTGGTAGTGTGTGCTTACGCTTTGGTAGTTACATGCATTTGTGTTGGTTAGATGGAACATTATGTTTTTTGGTAGTTATTTGTATTTGGTTTGGTAGCGTTTGCATTATGTTTTGGTAGTTTGTCTGTATTTGTTTTGGTAGTGTTTGTATTGATTTATTTATGCAATGGTATTGTTTTGATTCCACAGTAGTAGTAGTGGTATTTGTTGTTTTGGTATTTGTTTGACTTTTGTAATGGTATAGATTATTTATATTGGTAGTTTTCGTGTAATGGTATAGATTTATTTATGCAATGGTATTGATGTTTTTCAAAATGGTAGTGGTTTTCTAATGGATTGGTAGTGATTTCATGTTTTTTCTTTTGCAGAAAGATTGAGAAAAATATGAAAAGGAGATCTGGCTGGAGATTATGGAAGTGAGAGAAGGAGAAAGAATTGTAATTAATAGATTTTTGTAACTACCTAAAATGTAATTTATTAAAATTAATTAATATAATTTATTTTTCCATACCCAATTTACCCTTAGTAACCACGGTGATTACTATAAAAAAATAATCACGGTAACCGCTCACTGCTAAGCGAGCGTCTACCATCTTAACAACATCATCTCCTTGGTATAATATTGCACTTACCGCATAATTCATATTCCTCTATGATGAGCAAGTATTAAGTAACGTTTATCAACTCAGGTCCACATCTAAGTCTAACTTAATTATAATTAAATCATGTATTTGTTCGATGATAAGCTGACTTAAATTATTCTGCCCGTCTTTTTAGAACAATTATATACGAAGTACTAATTAATTAGCATATGGTTTCTCTAGATTGGAGATTGAGTCAGCCGAATTACAAGTGGCACCACTGCTCAGAACATGGAATCAAAATATTGATTTTCAAATACGGTGTATAGTCGGCCATTTCGTTTGTATATATTGAAGTTAATTTAATAGTACTTCACTTGATTTACAATTAATTCACTTTCAAGCTAACATGCATCACTTCTGGTTTTGCTACAAGTCATTTGACAAGACTCGACTAGTTGCAAAAAGAAAATACTAAAGTAAGAAAAATAATAATAAGAATAATAATGGATATGCATTATTTTACTGGCATCAATTATGCTAGCAAAGTTCATAACGATCAAGAGGTGTCGTGTTTGAATCTAAACAACAATCCATATTAATTGTTGATTTAAGCAGAAACTACGACGGGCATCTGCAAAATAAAATTTAATCATTTGTACCGGATTTCGGCATTTCGCTATTGTACATTATACTACCGGCCTTTTAGACTTGATTTTCTATACAATTATATATAAATCACTGGATTTACTATATAGAAACAAACGTAACTTGAAACTTACAATATATATGATAATGACATGCATATTTAATAATCTCATCGTTGGATATATTTCGTTTTGTATGTAAGTGCTTGGTCACCTAGTCGGTATAATCATCCATATATACGTCATATATGTGTTTGAAAAGTTTGTTTGAGCTAATTATTCCTACTCTTGGAATACAACGACTTCATGTATAGCTACAAGCAATCTACTCAGCCCTGTTTGATTAAACGTGAGTCCACATTATAAATTTACGGCCTCAATTCAAATAGAAGAAGTAACGCCCAATTTTGCATCCATCCCCAAAAATGGACCTGTAATTTCAAAACAAAAAAATATATGGGATGAATTAAAGGAAAAATGAATGTAGTTTCATTCGATTCATTATTATTATTTAATTTGGAGCTCAGTAGCCAACATATGAAGCAACTATGACGCTAAACCAAATTCCATCTCCTTCTCACTCCATCCTATACGTACCATAGGTTTTTCCCCTGCCTAGCTTCTTATAATTAAACAATCATTATGTTCAAGAAAATTAAAATGATAATCAGTACAGATTTCATTCACAAGCCTAATATCTTTCTTATTTGTTTAACTTTTTTCCTCCTCTCCTTTCTTCGATATCTCCGACGGCCATAAATAAAAATCGATTTTGAAAGAGTGATTTCTTAAATGAAATGTAAGAGAGCGACACAAGATGAATTCTGGAATGAAATACAAGAAAAACTCGTTAGCAGCGGTAGAATGTGGTGGCTGGGTTTCGCTTATTCTACTTCCAAATTGAGCTCCACACGGCAAGGAAATCGATAGCGCATGTCAGCGAATAATGTCCATGCTTTGCTGCTAATCCAAATGTTGCACATAATCTGTATATGCCACAAGAAATTGATGATTAAGTCACTCATTCATCACTCTAATTAACTCTCTCTCTCTCTCTTAAACCACTGTATAGCTCCTCTCAGTTTATTGTTAACTTTACGAGCGACAAAGTCCTAATTAATTAAATTAATAGGATTAGTATTGACTTAAACTTGGCCGCCTACTTCCGTCATAGAAAACTGCATAGTAATTATATTGTTGTTGTTATTTTAACTAAGCATAATTTGGGTAGTCCAACTCCTCCTAGGTAGAAACATTTGGTCCTTATTGGCCAAAGGCATATTGGCTCTCTTTCACGAATTCTACTCGGTCGCATGATGGTGGAAGGAAGGAATCTAAGCGCTACTTATAATAAGCCCTATTAATTTGTACTGATGAGATAGAAAATCCTAATTAAACCCCAACAATAATTGACTAGTTTGGTCTTGTTGTAATTTTTTCAAAAGCAGCTTCTAGTTGGAATTTTTAGAAAATTAATTTTTTTTTTAAAAGTTGAGTGTTTGTTAAATGACCATAAAGTATTTATAATATAAAAATGAATAAAAAAATTTAATAAAAAAGTAGTCGAAATGCTTTTTGTAAGATTTCTTTTATATTGAATAATATGATTATATATTTTTATTTTATTTTTAAAATGATATAAGTGAATGAATATTATATATTCTGAAATAAAATTAAAATACAATAAGAATAATATTGTATTTTCAAAAGAGCTTTTTGCAGAAACTCTAAATCGGAGCTTCTAGGTTTTTATGTTATACAAAAACACTTTTAACCTTTTTAAAAAATCGAGTTTTTAAAAGTGTTTGGTCCTAATTTAGCTTTTCAATCCAAAAACCACTTCTAAAAACCGAGTCAAACATAGACAATAAGGAACATTGGCCTGGTACTTCCCACTGGCCACTTAACCCTAGCTACAAAATTACCCAGTCGAAAAGGACGAACTAATTATTATTGCTAAATTAGGATTAATGTAATCGATGGAACAAGCAAATCAATATACAACCTTTATCTAACCTCATCTTGATTATCCTTCAAGAAGGTGGTTAAAATTCATATATAAATCTCTCCTAACCATTCAAATTGTTGAAACCAATTGGTTTATAACATTGCATTAGAGATGATTTGTGATTAATATACATATTCAATCAAGCACCTGGTGATAAGTAAACATTTGCCCATAAATCATAATGGGTTCTTTCTTTATCTTGACTTGTGGAGTTGCGGCAATCATTAATTACATGGGGAAGAAAAGAATCGAACCATTTTGTCTCTCCCACTTACGCCCCTGAAAACCACAGGAGAGAAATATATAAACAAGGATTTCAGGTCCCTAACCTTCTACTATGGCACAGACACACATGGGCCCTACAAAAACAACCATTAATACAACACAACCATCCATGGAATGGAACCTCTTTTTTCTTTGTTGAACAAGTTTCTCAGTCAAATGCCACACGTGCAACCATGTTCATTAGATCTCTCTCTCTCTCTCTCTCTCTCTCTCTCTCTCTCTCTCCACAGTCTCCTCACTCACACGTACAGTAGTACACTGGCTATTCCTCAAAAGACACTCAACCTTAATTCTCTTTTATTAGTCAATTAATTGTGACCCACGCCACCCATAATCCTAATTCCTAATTAACCTTACATATCGTGCAAATATGTGATATTCTATAGTTATTTATATATGCATCAACTTGGTTTTGTTTTCTTCTTGTAAGTGAGATATCAAGTATAGTGTCAAAGAAAAATCGTGCTAATTCCTAGGTAATCCACCCAACCTCTTTCTTGGACTTACTCCTAAAATTATAGTCTCGTTATGAAACATAAAGAGTGAAAGTAATAACCACCTCCAAAAATTAAATCAGCCTTTGGTGTGAGACTGACCCTCAAAATTCAATAAATATTTTTGGATCCAATATTTAATCAAATCCTTCCCTGAACTAGCGAGATGTGAAAATGATCATATTAATCACAGGTTAAATTTGAAATATAAAATAAATTACCCTTGTCCAAAGAATGCAAAGCAAAACAACTTGTAATTTTGAAAGAAATAAGATAGAGCGTCATTAAAAATATTTTGACCATTGAGGACCTAATTGGAAATTAATTTTTCTTTGTTTTGATTGCGCCGAATTTTGAACTCAAAGATCCTGATTTGAGCATGGTTAATGCACAACCATTCCTTCCCTTATTGAGGCCCTCATCAACTCAAAATTGCAAGCAAATGAAGCTGATTTTCTTAACACATATAATACAGTGCCAATTAATTAAGCTTAATCCTCCAGTTCATCAGGAAAAAAATATGTGTACATATTATTTTGTATCAATTAGAGGCTCCGAATCTCTATAAAATGATTATAACAATAGATAATAATAATAATGTTCACACACATCTTAAATAAATAATGATCATCGATCTCTTTGCTTTTCTCTCATATGATCGACATGTATATCCTTAATCAAAACTAATTTCCCGAACTGGACATCCCAAAAAAAAGTAGCAGAAACGATTTTAATCATGATCGTAATGGTGATTAATTAGCACCAAAAACTCAGATCAGAACAAAAGCAGATCCAAGAAGCTTCTCCTTAAATTAATAATAATCAGAAACAAAAATTAATCAAAGTACGGCACCCCGTTGTGATCCCCGGCGGCAATCGAGCTATAAGCTGTCGCGCTATTCGTCGCCGGCGCGTATAGAGAAGAAGCGGAAGACGACGAGGACGACGATATAACAATCGACGGCGGAGGCGGCGGCGTCGGCTGTGGACCAGCAGAAGCAGAAGCGTTATGGCAGCAGTTTGGAGTAGGAGTCGCCGGCGCCTGCGGCGGATGTTGGTGGTGGTGTTGCTGAATCTGCAGCTGCGGCGCCGGTTGCGAGGCGGCGACAGGCGTGTTTGGCGCGGAGATAACGGAGACGACGCCGGATGAAATTAAAGCCGCGTGATTGGGAGAGAGAAGATTAGTCGTTGCTTCTCTGTATTTGTATTTGAGTATCTCGGCCCTAACGGCGTTAAGCTCCAGCTGGAGGGATTGGATCTGCTGCTGCAGCGCCGAGATTGCTCCCATGCACCCGTACACCGGATCCCTCAGCCTCAGGTTCGCTTCGTAGACCAAGCTATTCGCCGCATCTGCCCTCTGGCTCTCTGCCACCTCCTGTGTAGTACATACGTCGTAGTACACTAGTTGAATCATCAACTGAAGATCTGAATGTTGCGTATGTATTTGTGTAGGTGAAAAATATTTTTTTTTAAAAAGTATGATTACTTACGAGGAGCATCTTGGAGACGTTGCTAGCACCGAAGACCTTATGGACCGCGGCAAACTTGTGGGGCTCGTGAGGGGAAAAGTAAGGGGAGAAGGGGCATTCCTCAGCGCATCTTCGACGGAGTAGCTTGCAGGCGGCGCAGGGAGTGATGGTGTTCAAGCTTCCGGGAGGAGAAACCATGTTCATCATCGCAGCAGCAACTACTACCCTTCTCCTCATTAACGAGGCATGATGGTGATCGATCTCTCTCGCTTGATCTTTTTCTCTATCTCATCCAAGTTTTGATAATCCCTGCTAATTAAACTCGATAAATATCCGGTTTGTAAATAAAACAGAAAGATGGAAAATAAAGAGAGGAAGAGAGCATAGTTGATGGATGATTAATCACCTCTCTCTGGACATTCAGGCATGCTAGATGGAGAGGAGGGTGAAGGTTTTTGGGATTTTGGGAGAGAGAGAGAATGGAGGAGAGGAATTATTGAAGGAAGAGGGGACTAAAGAAGGGTTAAAGAATGGAGAAAGGGGTGCTTAAAAGGCAAGGAAATGGAAGAGAAGAGAGACAAAATTGAAGGGACAAACTTACAAGCAAAAGGGAAGATCAAGCATAGAAGAACGAACTGAAGAAGCCAAAAGGGAGGGCTGCTGATTGGTTTTATGCTAATAAGAAAAGACAAGATAAGAGATTGGAAAGCTATATGTTTAACAATTAAAAAATGAGAAATGGAATATTGTTTTGATAATTATTGTGAATTTTCCTGGTGATGATATAGGCAGCCAATAGGGTTTAAGTAAGGGTGCAGTTGTGGACTTGTGGTTTGCTAATAAAATTGAAAAGAAAGATTCCAGCTTTGACAAGGCGTTTTCATGCTCACGTGTGACTTCTTTTTTTTTTTTTGGTTCTGTTGGGGGCATTATTGACTTTGGAAATTGCTGCAATTTCCATATTCTTTGCAACACATTAATGAATTACGAGAGAGAACCATGATTTAAGAGTAATTAAGAAAACTATCTTAACTAATAAGATTTTTTGAGGTGAAATAAGAGTTTTAATAAGAACTTCAAAGTTAAACATACTTATTGTGAAGTATTGTAAATATGGTTGACCTTATGAAAGGCCACTTTAATATGTAGCCAAGACAAAAATCATGAGATTTTAGACTCAAAACAGACAATGTTTTGTTGGAAAAAAATTCGAAATGTTACATTATTCTTCTTTTCCCCCCACTGAAATGGCTTCATGGATCAGTTTCTCCCCGCCCCCTCCCTCGCGTCCCTTCCATTATACATATTTCTTTAGAGGGTTCTTCCCTTAAAGAAACTATCCGCTCGAGAATCCTGACCCATATAGTCATCCTCTGTTGGAATGACTAAAAGACGAGAAATGAAAGCACTTTCATAAATAGAATATCCTTACCACCTAATGTATCTATGCAAACCTATTGGGATTTCATTGAATGCTTGAGGGTACCCCTCGTTCCATTATGTTCTAGCTAGTTTAGGAGAACCTAGTGTCATACTAATTCACTGCCAAACAATCATTCTATGGTGATTTACTGTAATGGGTCGTTCATTGGCGACTCCCAGTCGGCGATTTATGGTGTTGTTGTCGTTAACCACCATAGACAAGTGTGAGATGGACGAGCTGATATTCTACTCTGTTCTACCCCAATTGAAGCTGAAATAAAGACTCTTTTGGAAGGTCTCAAATATAACTAGCACAAGGATATGAGTGTGAATCTGTGGTTCAATCAGACTGTAGATATTGGTGAAAACTTTATCTCAATAATCCTCGAGTCCTGACTAGGAGTGTCTCGAATATGATCAATGCTCTCAAATCTTAGAATGGATATCATCGAATTAAGGTCAAGACTGTGTCGAGCAAGTTTAATGTTAGAGCTGATTGGATTGCTTTCTCTGATTAGATCTTCTCTGCTATATAAATGGATCAATATTCTGTTCTTCTCTAAAAATAGTGTAATCTGATTTCGTTTGGTGGAATACAAGTTGGTATTACTGTAAAAAAAAAAAAAAAACAGTTTGCTTCTTTTCAGGGTCATCTGGCAGGCAAGGCATAGGGGCGGCAGCAGCTAATTAAGTTTAATATTATATTAGTTGTTTAATTTAATCACATGGATTATTAATGGACGGCACAGAATTTGCCTGCAGGCTGCACCATGGTTTATGAAGGAAGAAGGCATTTCCTTCTCTATTGCATTCACATCTATCTTTGATCAACTTGGAGCTATAAATTCGAATGAGGAACCCAAAATATGAAGATCAAGTACTTTGAATCATGATAGCTGAATCGGAGGCAGAGTTAGTGATTATTAACTGCACTATTTTTCAGATTTTATGCAAGTTTTTATACGCAATTTTAAATATAGTTTTAAAGTTGAGGAGATATTATGGGTACATGTTTCCTCGTCGTCCTAATATAGCTCCCCACACTCTTTGCTCTTTTTGTTCATTTGTTTACCAATACAGATGATTTAATTAGGGGTGGCAAAAATATCCGTAATCGTGGATATCCGTTTCAATTCGGCCTAATCGGGTAAGTAAAAATTCGAAAGACTTTTAATTATTAGGTACAGGTAACACCCGAACCCGAATATTATGGGTAATGGGCGGACATGGGTTTCTCACTATCCAACCCGAACCCGCCCGATTATACACATGCATGTGTATTTTGTCTAGAAATAATCATTATTTTTCTCTAACATATTTTACATTTAGCATATAAATATAATATTTTCATGAAATTGTGTTGTTTTGATTAATTTTCTTCATTCTAGTGAATTATTACCGTACCTTTTCTCTTAAGTAATGTGAGACTACGTTTGAATGTTAACATATTGGTTGGAGTTATGAAGAGAAATTATTACTCATGGATAACCGTGGATACATAGGCGGAGCCAAGGGCAATTGAATGTGTCCTGGGACACAGACAACTTTTGGGAAAAATAAAATACCCATATATATATATATATGTATTAATTAAGGATTGTACTCATTACCTTTAGGTAATATAAAAGTGAATTATCACTACACTACAAGTTATTTCAAGTTTAAAAGCTAACATAAACTAATTTATCACACTATAAACAAAATTCACAATACTAAAGAATCAATCTCTATGTCTTCTGTAATTAGTTTTGACTCTACTCGTCGCAACTGCAAGTGTAAAAAGAACATTTTCAACTTTGAGTTATATAAAAAACAAAGTTTCAAAGTCAAATTGCGACCAATTTGCTAATGGTTGATTAGTCGGATACATTGAGAATTTGAAAATGTGTTGTAAGTGCTTATGAAAATAATGATTGTGTTAGTCTAGTATTTCATTAATATCTATAAATGAATTATTTTAATATTGTTAGTTTTAATTATATTTACTAAATAATTATATATTTATATTATGGAAATAGGACACAGGTACCTTCAAACTCTGGCTCCGCCACTGCATGGATATATACGCGAAACTCAAAGGGTATAACCATAATTTTAATTTTATATCCGTTTATTATGTAGTGGGTATGGGTATGAGTAAAATCCAAACTACAATAGCTAGGGTAACGAATATGCACTATCCGCCCCCAACCCGATCCGACCCATTGCCATACCTAAATTTAACAGGTTTTACAATTTTTTCGGCGTCATATACAGTAATTTATTGGTAAAAAAAAAAACAAATGTTGGAAGCAAACCTTTGTACAGTACCTGGAGAAGAAAAGCATTTTTCGTGCCACAGTTTCCAGTCATTTTCGTCTTACCAAACAAAGAAATCTCTCTCTCTCGTTTTTGTATTTTCGTTCAGTAGCTAGTAAGAAGGGACGGCTATCAAAGGTAGGTGGAAGAAAAGGAGGGAAACCTAAAAATGGAATGTTTCTTAGGTACTCTTTTTCATTTTTTAAAAACCCCAAAAAAATTATAATAATTAAGAAGAAGAAATTCAAAATGAAAATAGATGAAGAAAATGGAAATTAAACAGTTGCTTCGAAAATAAGAGAAAGGTGGCCATGAGATGAGTTCTTGTTTGACCCGTATTTTTAGCCTAATCTTTCGCGCTCCTTGCCTATGTAATGTAATGCAAATAATATACAACAATGAACTCGTCCCAGCTGCTTCCTTCCTTCCACCTGCCATTTGCACACACACAGACACAGTATTTGCCTCTTCTTTCTTCTCTTCATTTAATTGCTCTACCTAGCTAGTAAACCTCATACTATATATTATAGCATCCTCATCTTAATTAATATATTGCCAAGGACACTATAAATACTTCAAATCTATCGCTATTTTGTAGAAAGTTTTTACGAATCCACACTGTTCAACACGTTCTGTTGACTATCCAAATGATTTTGTAGTGGTTAATTGCATGGTTGGTCACTGAGATTATAAAAAATGTTCACGTTTGGTCACTGTAAATATTTAAATTCAATCTTGGTCACTCTAATTATTTAAGTGGTTGAAGTTTGGTCACTCTCCGTCCATTTCCGTTAACTCTAGCTTACGTGGCAGTCAACTTTCATAATTGACCGTTAAATATGTGACGTGGCAATTAAAAAATTATTAAAAAAAAATAATCTTTTACATTTTCCACCTCATTATTACATTAATTAAAAAAAAAATTTGGCTGGAAGACCTCTCAGCATCTCACCTTGCCTCCCAGTACAGCTCCCGCGCCTCCATCTGCTCCTTCGTCCCCACTACCTTCGCACATCTCTCCAGCACCGGCGGCACCACCAGCTCCACCTCCATCTCCGTCGTCGCATCATCCGAAACCCTAATTCCCATCTCCTTCTCGATAATCTCCTCCTCCCTCACAATCAAAGCGTAAACAGTGCCCATCCTCGAGACCGAGTTGATCCACAGCCCAGGCCTGCCGTCTCCAGGCCACAGAGCTAGGTAATTGTCCCTGGAGAACTCCAACCTCCCGTCGGAGTTTTCGAACATCGCATCCTGAAATTCGTACAATTGATCGCTGAAATCGGCCATCGTCATCAACAAAAACACCGCCAAAATTCTCCTCGACACCAAAATCTCCTCTCCGGTCTTGATGTGCTTCACCTTCACCCCTTCCTTGGGCAAAATCGAGTTCAATTTCACCCTCCACGCCTCCCCTGCATCGAATTCCCCCTTCTCCTTCTTCGCCTTCCGCAGGGAAATCTCCGATTGGGAAAGATGTTCCCACCAGCAGCAGCTGCAGCCTCTTGTTCCGCTAGCACGTCCGGTGCATACAAGATTGCCGGATCGATTGAATCTGAGCTCGAAGAAGCATGCCTCAGAGGTTGACTTTCAATTCTCGCGAGTCCAAAGCCTGAAACTTTGACGAAGAAATAACCCTCTGTGGATTTCCTTGGCTTGAGCAATATGTTGGTGATGTTCAAATCTCCATGGTAGATCTTCTTCGAATGGAGATACTCCATCCCTCTAGCTATCTGAAGCATGATATCCACAACAATGGGGAGAGGCAAAAGAACCCTTTTCCTCGGACTGCTGTTCTCCTTCATGTAAGAATACAAATCCTTGCTCATCAACTCCATTACTAAAAAGCATTCTTTTTTGTCCTCGTCATAGAATCCACAAAAGTACTGGACTTTGTTTTTTAATTAATGTAATAATGAGGTGGAAAATGTAAAAGATTATTT